GGGGGGAGTCACCCCTGGCACAGGAAGGGGGGGAGTCACCCCTGGCACAGGAAGCGGGGGGGTGATGCCTGTTTATCTCCCAGGCCGGGGTGTGGAGCCCACAAGTGTCCCAGGTCAAGCTGACTGTGCCTAGAGACCGGCTGTGGTCCTGGATTTCTGAGCCACGGGAGGGACAGAGCGGCTGCCTCCTTTCCAGCCCAGCCCAGAGCCCTCCTCCGAGAAGGTCTCCGGCCCCCTGGCCCCTCCCACTCGCCAGCACCACAGCTGTCTGTCTGTTCTGCGCATTTGGCACCTGCTGCCTGGTAACATCTTGTACTGCTCCCCAGAGAGGAAGTGCGTGTGAGAAAGACCTGGGCACGAATGCTGGCTCATCCGCGGGCGCTGTGACCTCGGCCAAGAGGCGGCATCTCTGAGCCCCAGCTTCCTCCCTGGACAGAGGAGCTCACCACGGCCCCTCTCGTAGGTTGCCGTGGTCACTTCCAATATTTATATCGCTTGGAAATATTTTCCACTCTTTCTTGGGCAGGAAAAAGTGAGAACAACCCCCTCCTGTGCTGGTATGTGCGGTTCAGTGTGCGCGTGCGCTCCCTCTCTCTGGATCAACGAATAATTAACTCCTCCGGACAAAGTCTGCACTTTGCATGTACTTTGCATGTCCCACGCTGTGTTATACTTATTTGTTAGAATGTCAACGAGCCCCTAAAGGACGGAGACCATTCTCCCACTTAGAACCCAGGTGCTGAGCGCACGCCTGCTCCTGCGCCCGCGGGGGGCTGGGGGGGAGGCTGGGGCACACAAATGAACACCCCCAAGCGCTGCCCTCGGGAGCTCCTTCTAGCCAGGGAAGCAAACAGGTCGAGTGACAGTGAGACGAGCGATATAACGGGCGTGTAGGCCATGGAACACCAAGGTGTTTGGGTGCACACGTGGGGGGGAGTTCGGGGCGACTTCCGGGTGGACGGCCTGGCTGCTTTTCTCAGAGTCAGCTGAAAGGGACACCAACTGGCTGGGGGAGAGGGCAGGGATGGCGGCCATCCAGGCCGACAGGACAGCGCGTACCAAAGAGCACGGACAGGACTCGCTAGCCCAGTCCTTGGCACCCACTGGCGTTCCTGGAGGGGCTGCAAAAGTGCCCTGCAAACTTCTTAGGAAGGAGAACCTCTTAAGAGAGGCAGCCTCAGTGCTTAAAACCTGCAGCCCAAGACCGGCTCAGGGGCCCTGTCTTGGGGAGGGGGGATGGGGGAGGGGGAGGGGGGACGCTTTGGCAAGTGACAGATTCCTTCTCTGTAAACCCCGGGCAATGAGCTCTTCCTTCCACAGAGGGTCGTGGAGACTCGTTTAGGTGGCACATGGGATACATACGTACTATAAATACCACATCTGCAAACCACACTTAGATGATTAACGGGGGCGGGGGGGGGGTTACCCCACTGCCTGGTCCACCAGAGAAACATACTCCAGCAAGGAGTCTGAACAACGGCCACAAAAAGACATCTGGTTCCTCGACAGAGGTCACCAGGACAGCTGGGCTTCGGGGAAGGAACGGAGGTTTGCGGCCCTTCACACCAGGGCAGGTCCTGGGGGCGCGGGCCCAGCCATCCCCGTGGGCCTCAGAGTGGGCACACCTTTGCCCACTAACCCCCCCACGGGAAGTGCAGTTTGCCTGCAGGAGACAAGGGCTGGGCTCTCTGGGGACCGTGGGGTCACTGACCTTTTGTCGGCTGGTGCACATCACCGGCTCCTCCTCTCCCGGCCCCCCCCTCGGAGAACAGTAAGGACCCTACTGGAGAAGCAGAATTGGGGAGTCAGGCACAGGGGGGCTACCCAGCCAGTCCCACCCCAGCCTCGGGTGGCGGAGGGCCCTCTCCAGGGCAGAGGTCCTCTCACCAGGAAGGGCAAGTCGGGGGAA